TTGACCCTTATGACTGGTTTTGTGGTCCAGGGTCACATATAGTTTACTAAAAGTTGCATTTAAAGCCAACGGTTACAAAATGCAATGCTGTTTTATATTCTGCTTGCCAACAACAGGAGATACGAGCCTTAGAGAGATACATACGGCGCCTTGAGTTTCAAATTAGTAAGGTAACACAGCTTGAAAATACTTAAATTTGGTTATATATACTGTATATATGAACACTAGTCAGATGTGCTAAGAATAAACCTGTATCATGTGAATGTGGATGTCAACAGGTTGAAGAGCTGTATGAGTCCTATTGTATCCAGTGGCGGCTCTGCCAAGGAGCTTTGAACATGAAGAGAGCTTTCTCTCTGTCCCTGTCTTCACGACAGTCTAGAGAGAGTCTACTGGAGCTGAACCGCAACCACAGACACAGCCTGGAGGTGAAGTCTCTTTTGGACACCATACACACACAACAACAAACAATAAGTAAGCCATTTGTGTGGTCGTTTTCCCAAAAAGCGTTAACACTGTGGCTCGATTGCTCTTTCAAAACATCCCGACCAGCCCAACACAACAACAATTTATAACCACTTTTCCTTAGTCAATGCACTGATAAAAAGAACCTGTTACGTAAATTCAAACATGTCTGTTTAACACTAATCTATACCTGCAGGATATGTGTGCAATGGAAGGAGAACTGGAAATCCTGCTGGGCGAGCTGCAAATCAAAATGAAAGGTACACAGACAGCACCTCTCATATGCAGGAGTCTCCTAAACATCCTATTCCAGCTCATTTTTTCTCTCCTTTTATGAGGCAGGGTTGATAGGATTTGCTCGACTCTGCCCTGGAGATCAGTATGAGGTAAGGAGGTTTAACCCAACGTCCTACTGTTGTTAAACTTCTGTTATTATTTATGTTTCTCCAAACCTGTATATCATTCTGTATTCTGTGTAACACAAAGGGAGACATTTAGCACAATGTTCATGCTCAAGTGAATGAGGACGAACGTGGATGATCTTCCAAAATGTCAAGAAAAAAGCTCCATATATGACTGGAAGAAAGAAAGCCACATGGGCTTGAGGGTGAATAAAGGATGATGATCTATCCATTTAATACATAAAAGTAATAAAGATGTGAAGGCATTCCACCCCAAAACATCACTCTTAATCCAAGGTTCTCTGTTCTTTTTGCATGTGATAGACACAAATGCATGATGGCTCTTTTATGTGAAAATATTAGGCAGAAATGACATATTTCACCAGCTATTCAGATTACATTTTTAAGGCCAGGTTTCCAATGACTTCATGCACAGTGGAATGCGCTCTCAGGAGCCATCAGCCGGCTCATGCACGAGACCACACATTCACATACAGTCACCCCAAAAAGTATTTGGAAAATTAAGACAAAGAATATGAATTTCATTGCATTTGATATAAAAATATATGCAAACATTATGCTAGCTGTATTTTAGTTCT